GAAGTCGCAGGATTTTCAATGATGAAAAATCTACCATGTTCAATCTGATAAAGAGCGACTCTTGCACAAAATTCTACCATGGGGAGATACTTTTTCCTTTTCTGATAAGTATCGGCAGGATCATTAATATTCTGCATTTGACTCCATGGTCCACAAACAGGTGCCATGTGGATGATTTTTGGCTGTTGTCGCTCAATGACTTCCATTGCCTTTCGCCGGCCTTCGGCAGTGAGCAAGTCGTAACCTGTGCGGAGGTCTATTGGAGCGCCGACTCGAAGCCCTTGCATTGCCGCCGCTTGACTAAGCTTGGCAGAGCCGCTAAACAGCTCAAGGAAATCTAGTTTTCCAGTCATAGCTGGCTCCCATGTATAACAACCATATTGAATACCTTCAGGACCTGACTGAATGGCATCGTGTTCTATGATGTTATTTGCATGGTCATCTGAGCGGCATGTGGACTTCACTGCTGTACAGGCGCCCTTGGCCGAAGATTCGGCACCGGCGCCAGCTTTGGCCGAAAAGTCGGCACTGGCAAGTGCAATTGGTTCTAAAGGAATATCTATATCCTCAATAGGATTATGGTCTTTTCTTATTTTACTGATGTTGACCTTCACAATTCTGGTTCCTAAGTCAACTCCAACCATGCTGCCATCTACGGAAACCAACTTTCCTTTTATCCATTTTCCTCCATGTGAACCGTCTGATTTGATTTTTGATTTGTCTTCGGTCCAATAGTAAACTTTATCTCCAGGAAAGAATGGTCCATCACTAAGTTGAAGTTTACTTGCAATGTCTCTTCGAAGGTCATCGGACTGTTTTGCCTCTAGAAACTTTTGCATCGCCAGTGACCTTAGTGCTTCAATCTGTCTCTCAGGAGCAGGGGCCTCAGTTGTGAGCTGTGCTGGATTCATGAGCTCAATCGTCGTAAGATCGGCAGGTCTTCTGCCAAATGCTAATTCAATAGGTGTGACACCACCGAGTGTTACCATGGTGTTCCTTGAAATGCAGGCTTGTCTCAACAACTGTTTGTAAGTAATGTTGGCAAGCAATGGATCGTTTTTCAAGGAAATTAGCATTAATGAGACCTGTTTCTTAAACATGCGAATGGCTGCTTCAGCTCGATTTGGCCATGGTGTTCCTGGTCCTAGAGAAATTGGCCGGATGCTGTGCCGGTTGTAGTAACTCTCCATTTCAGTGCCCATGAAAGCTTGATCGGCAACAATGTATTTTGGATTCAGCTGATAAGTTTCAAAGTATTCTTGAAGATGAGATATTGTCACCGTGTCAGACCTATTCTGAACTACAAAGGCAGTAGTCAAAGAAGTTGCACCATCATACATAAGTAGGAACTGAAGTTTTGACTGAGGATTGATAGGAACTTCTCCATGATCAATGAAAGTAAGTTCACCAAAGACTTCACTTCGAATCCCTGAAACCTTAGCTCTCGATGGTGCAATCCTGGCAGTGGAACATGTGTCACATGATTTGGTAATCTGATCAAACTTGTCATAAATTTCTTTCGGCAACTTCAGAGCAGCTGATGTTCTTCTTTTAAATTGTTCAGTGGTCATATGATAATGCTTCAAATGTAACTTGAGAAGTTCAGTGGGTGATTGAAGCTTATCATGAATTCTCTGAAGAGCTAGTGACAAAGTTCCCTTAGGTGACGGATCCTTTTTCTCTTCAAGTTTTACTTCAACCTTTGGTTCCGGTTTGACTTCAGATTCTTCTTCAATCTGAGGTTCCCGACGTCTTGGGATACCGTCCTTTGAACCGGAACTTGGCCCAGAGGCCACCATTGGCTCTTCATCATGATCAAAAGGTTGAGCTGGTACTTCTAACTTACTATCAGGCTGAATTATCTTCTTGACAATCTTCTTAGAATCAGGCTTGGCCGGTTTCGGCACCTCTGCTGGCTTAGGCTCTGATCCCTTGAATCTCTTGCAACCTTCTTTGTTTGTGTGGGGTCGATGTTTACCATTGCATGCTGGGCATGTGATGTCTTCGGACTGAAAGCTGTACATCGGTTTCCAACTGGAAGTAGCAAGAGCCATAATGTCAAGGACTGGATGATTGGATGTACTGACCGCCAATGCGGTGCGTTGCATTCCAAACAGTGGACAAGTCATGAACTCACCTACAGGAGTGTGTTCAATGTTCATGCGAAGATTCCTCATTTGTTCAACAGAAAAGAGGATAGGAACCTTACCTTTGTCCAGGATGTCAACGCATGTTGTTATCCAACCAGTCTGTGCACGATCATTGCGAAAGTGAATCACTAATCTTTCCTTGACAGTAGATTGTTCTCCATTTGCAAATGAAAACTTACTCGAACATGGCTGCTTGGAAAACCAGATATGATCACGCTTGGGATGTTGTTGGCAAGCCTGTACAAGGCGATCAATGGCAAAGCGGGATCCCATGGCTCGAGTGCAACCTGAGTCAAGAATGACATAAGTCGGATGAGAACCTAAATCTACATACTCACAAAGCAGTGCTTGTTGGGCACCATGATCATAATTGAGAAATACACACTCTTCCGTAGAAACGGAATCGAGCGGGCTTGTGCGCGGCTGAAACGAATTTTGATCACCATCTTCGGTAGAAACAATCTTCTCAACTTGGCGGATGCTCTTGAATAGGGACCTGTTCAAATCAGAAAAGCACTGGTACATCACAGACACGAACAGAAGCACGAATGTGAGGGCCTCTACAAGTTCGTGTCCGAACAATCGGAACAAGCAAATGCCTGAAAAACAGAACCGGTTGATCTTGTCGGTCTGTCCGTCCTCAGAAATGATATCTTGATGCTTGTCCTCGGATGCGGTCAGTTCCTCAGCGGAAGCAAAATATGCCAATTGTACCAATCACCTTGGGAGTAATCTCCATCATATCCATAATAGGATTCATAACCTGACCAGTCATCTGTCCAATAGGTGTCATAGTCATAACTCCAGCTTTCTTCGGCATGGGCTGTTTCCTGTTTTTCCGGGGCTTGTGATGCACTAGATGTTGCAGCCTGTGCTACATTAGCTTGTGGAGGTTGAGACAAAAATGGATTGTTTCCTCCTTTGTTCTTCGCATCACCTTTTCCTTTTCCTTTCCATGTAGGCATTCCTTTGAAAGAATCCTTTCCTTTCATCATTCCTTTCTTGCCCTTTTTACTTTTTCCTTTGCCCTTGCCTTTTCCCCAGAAAGCTGTGTCTTGCTGGTCATCTTCCCATGCTGCAAAACCTTTGCCTTTTGACCTCGAGCGGAAGCCGGGTCTTGATCTTTTTCCTCCTTTCTTGCCATAACCTTTTGGTCTACCTTTCTTGAAGGACCTTCCGTAGATACGGCGCTTAGAGTATGAACCCTTGGCGCTGAGAACCCAGAACTCGTTCTCGGTGTACAGACCTGTGAAACCTTCTTCACCCGTCTCTTCATCAAAGACCCAAAATCCGTACTCACCTTCTTCGGTCTCGCCCTCGTCGATGACGTAGAAGATGGACCGCTTGCGGTGCGTGATGTTTGGGTCGGCAACACCTGTGCGAGAAACGGCAAAAAGTTCCAAGAACAGCTGTTTCACTTGGAGATAGGTATATTGAGGCATTGCGATCTGACGGATGTTCATGGACGAGACAAAACGCTCTCGTTGTTGCTCGTTGAGGTCTGCTTGCACTAGAAAAATCAGTGACATCAAATTGTCTGACAATGGAAACTGCTGTGCATGTCTGGTCCTTCTATTGGTTATGGTCTGTTCTCTCAGTTCTTGTTGATAAGCTAGCTTATCTTCATCTGTTACTATTGCATTATGTTGCAGTCTTTGCTCATCTGTGAGTGCTGCCGTAAATGCCGGAGTGCCTGCGTCGGGAAGATCGGATATGTCCAGCAGATCGGACCAAGAAGCCAACAAACGCTTCTGTGCGATCTCAAATCGCCCTATCCAGTGCACGAATTCACTCTGGCCTCGATATGTGCGAAACATCTGGAGGAATCGCCAAAGGAACACATGATTTACTCCCTTCACGAAGTATGGTCTCAATGTGTCCTTGAAATGGGCGAGGCCACGATCCGGATCTCGGAGTAGGGCATTATCGAGCATCGACTTATAAAAGGAAGCGGAACCAATGAGGGCATTCTTTAATGATGGTCCGTGCTTATCTGCATCCAATGTTGTGATCCCTAACCAGTCATCAATTAAATCTTCATATTCAAACCAGCTTGATTGGCCATCAAATTGGGGTGGAACCTTTGGTGTCATTTTGATGCCCATCCGGTTTTCGGAATGACTGGTGGCGGCATATACTTCCGGCTCTTCATAAGAGACAATCTGGAGTTGTTCTTCATCTGAATCCATGTTGTGGATTAAGACCATGGCAGCTACTCTAACTTGACCTACAGGTTGCCTCCGCAAGTCCGATACACGGAATGTATGCAGAGAACGGCAGTTCGGCACACGGATCTAGACTTGGCGAAGGCACAGGCTCCGCTACCACTTTGAGGTAGCTTATCCCCGTTTTGGGGGAGCCCTGGACTACGAAAAGAACACCTGAGTCAAGCAGCGCGACTACACTTTTCTATGCGAAGGTTTGCTGTCAATCTTGAGCCATGCGGAGTGCGCATGAAAGATATGAATTAAGTGTACATGTCAACATGCATGAAAGCATTGTGTAGACACGTAAAACAAAATAAATCACAGGGGGGTACAGGGTGACCGGTCTCTTACGTACTTACAGTTTTCAATATTTTTCACCCCCCCCTTTCTCGCTTTGACAGGCATGACGGACTCCACGTGCGAATCTGTGATGTCATGGCACAACTGATCACCCAAGATAATACAAATGGATACAAATGGAAGACCAGACTTACCAGTAATTGCCAAAGAATTCTAGAAGTAGGGAGTTGCAACTAACATGATTACAGTCGCAATGTGGAATATGCATCCTTTGCCAACTATATTTTATGCGGTAACTTTATTAGATTTATCGGCACTGTTGTGCATCTCAACATCTGTAGCCATGGCCACATTGCCTAAACGAGTGGTCAAACTCGAAGAGGTTGTCCTGGGCTCGGCCGCCACTGGGGGACTGGTGACTCGAGTGCAAGACCTGGAAGTTTGCTGCTTGGGATCCGCGGCTGCCGGGCCGTTGCCGCAGCGCCTCGACAAGTTGGAAGAGGTCACCGGCTGCACCGCAGGGGACGGGGCTGCCGTTGCGGTGGTGGCAGCACCTGCACCGGAGGCTGATGAGGTGGCTGATGCGGGTGCTTGTAATTGTTCAGATTTGTTTAGCATGTTCTTGCAGCCTTCGAAAATTGGCTAATTATATTTTTCATGTTTGCATATGACTTCCATTCCATTTTGAATGTTTCCATGCGCTGGCTGTGCATGAACCTTTTTCGAATGCACCTTCTTGTCGACCAGGCCGCCACAGCATCCTCTGAGAGCTTGGCGCTCAGCATTTGTTTTACGCCAGATACGCATGGAATCCTGTCAGGAATCCTTTGGGAGCCGCTCTGCCTTGGTCATGCCAAGGCCAAGACACCACAGCGGATGGCAAATCTGTCGAGAAGAAGAACAGGTTGGGCAGCGGGCTCAAAGCCGGATGTGTTGCCAGCAGAGGAGGTTGACGTTTGTCCGGGTCACAGTGTAGTAAGGATTACCACTTCTCCCGTCTCCACCTGTCCAGCTCAGCGGTTGCTGTTTCTTCCTGGTACAGCTCATGTCACTTTGAATCTGAAATTCCATAGAAAAATATGCAGTTCTCTGAAGATATCACGACACCTGTTTTTTGTACCCTGACAACATGGCATAGTTCAATGTGATTTGAAGCAATGTGTAAGAACATTTGTCACCTTTGTCACCCAGGCCGGACGGAGCTGCACAATGCCGTGTGCAGCGGTGACAAAGACCACGTCCAGCAGCTCCTGAAAAATCGTGCGTCTGTTGATGCCACGGACGGAAGTGGTCCGAAACTTAGAGCAAACAGAATTGCCAGGTGTTGTTCTTGAGAAATTCAAAGCTTCCATGATCCAATCCAGTGACAGTTGAGAAGGGCACAGCAGCACCTTTTCGTGTTATTTTCTTAGGCTTTCCGGCGGCGCTGAGGCCGGACACCACTACACTTGGCCGCCAGTGAGCTCTCGGAACCGGCCAAAATCGTCGAGCTACTGCTGGAGGCCAGGGCCAGGACTGAGGCTGAAGACCTCAGCGGCCCGGAGCCGAGCTCTTCACATAGAATATGTGAATGCGTATGATCTGAGCCCTCGGATCCAACTGAATTTTCGAGAGTAGATTCAGTCTGAGAGCTTTCAATTTCAGTACGTATATTGACACAGCCTTGTCATATTGATTTGGAAAGGTTTGAGGTCTTCTGTCAACTTGCGCATTTCTGGCGTTTGATGTCAAACTTGCCGCTAAGGTTTCACTCCCTTGAATTTGGCTTGCGATTCGAAATGCAAGGAAGCGGTGGCTGTTCTGCAGAGCGCCGCTCCTTGACTGGAAAAGAATCACCTGTTATATTTTTTGCAATTGCCATTGAATTTGGTCGAGTCTAGCCATGAGATGTGCAATGTAGATGTGCGCCCAATCTTTATTGTGCCATTCTTTTTTATTTTGAATGATGTTTATTATTCTTTACATGTTTTTCGAATTTTGCGTGCGGGACGGTTTCGTGGAGTACGGAGGATATGTTAGGTATGCCAGGGTGGAGCCAAGATAGCATAGCATGCCACAGGATGGAAATTCAAAAGGCACCACACTGCAACTTCACAGGGCAAATCAGAGGAAAGCAGGAAAACTGTAGTAAGTTTGCTCCCAAGATACTTTGGTGTTCCATTTTGTGCTCAAGATTCAGAGCGCTTCTCACTTGTATTCCGAGTGGCTGCTGCACCAAGGAGGGCTTATCGAAAGTTGCAGAAGGGATGACAGAAGGTCAGATCGTGACAGAGGCGGTGAAGAGTTTGTTTGTTGAAAAAACTGTCAGCTTTTGGATCGACCCGATCAAATTTGATAATTTCATTTCTCTGCTTGAGCATGTGACTGCATCAAGATCTGAAGTATAATTATTTGTGAATACTTTTGATCTCTTTGCATCTTCCACTTGAGCCAAGTTTGTTTTGGTGCTGCTTCGCACATGCACTATTCCATCAGGGTTGGCAAATCCAAATGTACATGGAGTCAGTAGCAATAGACCGTGTCCGAAGGCGCCGCTGGATGTCCTGCACTTCTTGCCGAAGCACATGCCAGCCGTGGCCTCCGATGCGAATGAAATCACCTTCGAGGGAAACATCATGCCTGGCGCACTGCAATGCTGGACGTCGTTCCCTGGCAAATTCAAGGCTGGATGGGATGCGCTGGTGAACGTGCCAGCTTTTGGCGACAGTGTTGCATGCGTTTTCTTGTGCGATTCCCAGTCTGGCCTTGGGGAGCACAAGAAAGATCCAAAAGGTGATGGCAAAAAATGCTATTGCTACCGGATTTATGGAGAGCGAGCAGATGCAGAGTACAAGAAGTTTGGATATATCATCTATGTACAGAAGAAGTATTCAGAATGCAGTGATCTGGAGAGAAGCAAGCTGGAGCAGACGGCCAACGCCATGGATGCAGAGCTTGTTTTTGAAGATGATGACAGCAGCACGAGGGACACAAAGGAGAAGCGGGCCAAGGAAAAGTTTGCCCAAAAGAAGACCGCAGCATTTGGCTGCAGTTGGTACGATTTGTGGTTCCAACGTGTGAGAGAAGCAGTACAACGAGGCCAACGGCTAAAAGTCGTGTTTTTTCCTGGTGAAGTGATGAAAGGCAGAGTTGACATGGATGCACTGGCCACAGATGACCTCTGGGATGGTGTTGGGCTTGGAACGTCCCAGAAATGCGAGGTTGCCACACTTGAGGCACAGGTTGAAAAAGTCTTAAAGCGTTAGCCTTTCTTGATGGATTCTATTGCCCTGGACATCCCTGGCCTCAGCAGTTTGATGTTTCAAGAGTTTCAAGGCACCAATTCTTGACAGGGGATATTGTGGTGCTGTTCTGTACCCGACAAGATTTGACATGATTTCACCAGTAGAACTCTTCAGAATCAGTTCTCCAGGGTCTCCGACACAGAAGGTATATAGTTAGTTAAGTTAGTTATAGAATAGCCACCCGCAGTTTGCAACACTTTCTTTTTGGGGATGGAAACCTCATGAAAAAAACAACGCCGTGTGCCAACATTTGAACTTGCTCGTAGTCAGAGTCTTTTTGGAGGTTGCTGAAACCAAACTTGGACATATTGCTGCCTTTTTTCTTGGAATATCTTGGAATCGATACACCTGAAAAACGTAGCGGTGAATTGTGGACAATTCAGCCGACTTTACTATTTGCTTTGAGGTAGCCGTGCTTTTTGTAAAATAACTCGAGGCTCTGGGTCAAGGCTTGACATTGCTGGTATGTATCAATTTGGTAGCAAAACAATGCAAGATATATTTCATCATATTTCTCTTGATAGCGTGGAATGTTGGACATGACACATGGTGTATCAGTTTAGCCGATTAACCCATCTTCCCCGAGCGCCCACAAGGTAGGGAACACCATTTTAGCGCATCTGGGCTCCACTCTCTCATTTTTTCATGTTGATTTCGACCGGGAAGAGGGATGAACCACGTGGTCTTCAGTTTCTAAACGTGATGTTTGTGAATAATGCCGCTAAAAGGGTTCCTCACGGCAAAAGTTTGTAGCCTTTCTGAACTTCTGAACTCATTAATTACGATTTGTGTCAGAGGTGTGTTGGGTGATTTGCCCTGAAGAGGCTGTGATTCTGTAGGCAGCCCAACCGGTACCTTCCTTTCAAACTTTGTTATTTACTACAGGGACCCCAAGGTATTTCGCATCTTCCACAGCCTGCAGGCAATGAGGAAGGAAACTGGCGATCCCAAATGGGACTACGATCCAGTGGATGTGACCGATTTCCTCATTTCACAGTTCAAGGAAGGTGATTTGGTGGAAGCGTTGGACGCGGACAGCCGGCGTTGGCGCAAAGGCTGCATCCTGAAGGTTTCGCGAAGCAGGATGACGAAGGATAACAGGCCGGTGTTGAACTCGTAGGTTTTTGGACCCCAAAGTCTTGCAGTGTAGAAACCAATGTCACGGAACGGAGTTTTTCGAAGTTGGGATTCGACTTGTTGGTTACCAAGTTGATCTTTGAAATGTTTTTCAATCTTGTGGTAAATTGTCGTCCAATTTTGGCAGGCACACCGTGCGACACACCTGGAACATGATCTGCAACTGGTCCGGGACAGAGTTCCAGTCAGAGCATCTGAGGCCTTTGGTGCAACATACCAACGGCTTTGAGGCCATACTGCAAGGGTTCCAGGATAAGAAGATGCTGCGGTCTCTGGAGGAATTCTTCAGTGTTCAGGTGAAGCAGGTGCAGCGATCTTGGTCCAATGGGAGGCATTCCATAGCAGTGGATGTGAACATCACCAACCTTAGGCAAGCCCACAGCTTAAGGGACAAGGTCCTGAGCGGAGATTTGGATCTAAAGATCAATGATATTTTGTCCATACAGTGGCAAGTAGGAATTGATAAGAGCGCTTTCTTGACCTTCTATGAGAGATCCCTTCTGTCATTGACGGATCTGACAAAGCATCAGAACGAAGTTCTCGAAGAGCTCAGAGATGCAGGTACTCATGAGCAAGGTGTCATTCACCTGTCTGCAGCGGCTGGTGCCGGGAAGACCTTCATAGCGGTGAAGTGGGTCTTAGAGCATCTCAGAATGTCCTCGGGAAAGGTGATGTACATTGCACCCAACAAGGCCCTCGTGTTGCATTTCATTCGGTGGCTATTGGCCTTTGCACATGCAGACAGGGACTCATCATCAAGATACTTCTCAAGACTCCTGGTATGGTATGAGCCCTACGATCGAGTACGAGTGCCTGTCATCAATGGCAACCAGATCCTTTTCGAGTCAGCCACAGTTGAGCTGGAACTATGTCAAGTCAAAGTACTTGACGAAGCGCATTGCATTTTTTGCGCGGACACGGACTCACTGATCCAAGACCGCTTGAAAAGCTACAGTGCGAGAAGCACAGTGCTGCTGTCTGACCTGTCCCAAGGTTCGACCGCATTTTCAGTTGATCGACACTATCCCAACAGGCGTTCAGTCAAACTCATAGAAGTCGTTCGAAGCACGCAGCGCATTGTTGCAGGAGCATTGAATTTTCGACTTGGCGAATCACGTAATGAGAATGTTGACAGCTTGGGGACACATGGGCCACCGATCAAAACCTTTTTATTTGAAGTCCAGGCAGAACAAGACAAGATGGAAGAGTATGCCAAGCATACTATTGCAGCCATCAACTATGTTCTTTGCCACTTTCCAAGCATAAACCTGAACAATAGAATTGCTCTGCTAGTGAAGGACAATGATGTCCTCGGATCCTTGAGTGGAAAACTCCGACGCCACCTTCAGCACAAGTTTGCCAAGCGATATTGCTTGGTGTCGTATGAGACATCCCTGAATTTATTACCTAGCCACTTGAGCATTGGAGCATCTGCACAAGGTGTGCAACAAGAGCAACAGATCATTTTGGACACTGTCAAGAATGCCAAAGGTTTGGAAAACCTCATCGTGATCTCAATTGGGCTTGATGCCCCCATTCAGGGTGGTTACGAAGATGGCGCTACAAGATCCTTACTATACCAAGGCATCACAAGAGCACAGCTGGCTTCAATGATCGTAAATGAGTTTATGCCAGATGGCTGGCTGGCTTTCCTGGGTTGTTTGAGGCTCAGCAAGGACACTTTCGATAAAAAGGCGGCCTTTGCTGAGACTGACAAAGGAGCAGCTGCTGCCATGCTCAAGGTGAAAGACAGTCGACGGGAGGTGCTTTGGACTGAATTAATCATCGGGAACTGCTGAGACTCAGCGGGACTCCCCAACACGATCCAACAAGATTAGTTGAAAAGCATCACAACCATAACTTCAATCTACTGAACGACTGTCGCAGCAGAGACAAGAGCATCCCCGGGCAGTTTGTGATCCTTGATGTGACCATACGGTCTTTCACATGGGTTGAAGTTTCAAAACCGCTTGGCGTCAAACAAGAACAGATATAGATTATTTGACCATATTTGACCATGCCAATTGCAAAAGATTCGTTAAGACAGGGCACGGTGGTTTCTGGCATGATGGTTCACTGGCAAATGTCATCCACTCCAGTCGCAAAGCTTGCAAGGTTGCCGAGGCCGCCAAGACCTTAGAAGAGGCCTGTTGTCCGCTCTTCTAGGATGTTCCATTTCAACTGTTAGTCTTGTGGTCGCAAAAAATCTGGTGTCCTTAAGGATGCCTTCGATTATTTGGCAAGATCCATAAAATGAAATGAAATTATCTACTTAAAAACCTAGAGCGGTGGGTGAGCTCCACAGAGCAATCAAACCAGATAAAGTAACTTGCCAATGGCATTGCACAATGCACAACAGTGCTGCCACAATCACTGCATTTGAGAAGGCGTTGGCAACACCTTTTTCCTAGTTTGAGCGCATCTAGTTCTGCTCAGAGTCGCTGGATTTTGAATATCGAATTTGCCAAAAAGCTGTGAAGGCCCCCGTTTTGCTAGACCTTGCAGCAAACTCCAACTGTTTCATCTCTTTCACTACAACGGGTATCGCAAAGTAATACATCACATGATTCATGATTCATCATGCGTAGGCTCTGGGGGCAAATCCTTAACAGATTCAGCTTCTCAGTCGCTTATATGATATAAATTAACCGACAAGATGAAGTGTTGATTTTGCTTTGCAATAGCAGTTCCTTGATTGAAGATCCTGGCTAAAGTGGCACAATGCTTATTATCTGTTTGAACCTTGTGATTCAACAGTTTGCATTCCCGTGGGTGAAATTCGTTCTCCAGTGGTCGGAGTAGCTGGGCGAAAATCAACAAGTAGCACGTTGGCTCCTGCCTCCCCATCCACCTTTCCACAGGAACCTGCAGCAAACATCTCTGTGGCCCTGACCTTGGAAGATTAGAGTGGGTTGATCCGAAAATTGGGGATGTAGGATGCCAAATTTTCTTTTGTAATGAGAAAATGCTGATCCATCATGGGATTTGGGGTGCCTTTTTTTCTCGGACCTGCCTAACAGTTGTGAGTTCCACAGCTGCGTGTCGCGATCTTGTCATTGCGGCTCAGGAACCAGAAATAGCCACGCAGGCGAGGGGAACACGCTTTATTGAGAGTAAAAACGTCAAGTGAATTTCTGGTTTTGTCCTCATCAGGTCACATGTTGTACCGTGCAGCGCCGTATTATGCCATGAGAGTCATGTCCAGAGTCAGCTTGAATCGTTTTGATCTATGTTTTGGTATGATTTGGTTCTTGAACAATGCTGCTCATGGGGGGATTGATGCAGGAGCCCGCAGTGGTTAAAGTGCTCCCAACTTCTGTGTGGGACACGGACGACAACACGATCAAAGCCAAGATCACGACACTGAAATTTGATCCACGGTTCACTCAGGACGCGTCGCAGTGTCATCAGCATCATGCATTGCAATAGCAGACGAAATCTTTATAAATCTTCAAAGTGTGCGTTACTTTGCCTTAAGTCTATGATAGGTCATTGCTTTAAAGTTCCCTGAAGTTTTTCATGGCAACATCCATAAGTGCGTAAACCATGTCGAGAGCTGTGACACCAGGAAGATTCGGAAGATCCAGAACAAGTCGAAGCCGACGAAGCGGCAGCGGCGAAATGTCTGGGCCTTAGTCCTTACTGACTAAAGATAGAACTTGATGCTACCTCAGGCAGAAGATCTAGAAGTAAATTTGAAGTTGCACTTCAAGTACCATGACATTGAACATCAGGAACTTCAAAGTTCAATAAGTTCAGGTTTCTAACTGATTCAATCGAATTTCAATAGTAGCAGACTTACCAGACTTGGACTACAGTAAACAGATGTAATCAGAAAGATCAAAGGAAAAAAAGGAAAAAAAAGGAAAAAAAAACATCGTCATTTCGGTTTCATTCCTCCGCGCGCCGAGACGACGACATCGCCGACGCGGCGCTCAACGGCGACCTCCCGGCCGTCCGGGGCCACCTGCGCCGCGACGGCGGCAGCCTGGACCGACTCTTCGGTGAGGACGGCGTGGCAGCGCTGCACCGCGCAGCCATCCGCGGCCACCGGGCGGTCGTGGAGTTCCTCGTGGCGAAGGGCGCCGCCGTGGACGTCCTGACCGGCGACGGCCTCGGCCGCGGGGAGCTCAGCGATCGCCGGTCACGGCGCCGCCGGGCGCCACTCCGCCGGTGCTGAGGTGCCACTCCGCTGCATCTTGCAGCAGTGAACGGCCACGTGGAGTGCGCCCAGCAGCTGCTGGCAGCGAAGGCCTCAGTGGAAATCAAAGACATCACCGGCTGGGGGCCTCAGCCGATGTCCCGTTTTTGAAGACCCTTTTTTTTCACCGGCAATTACAATAATTAACAGATTAATTAACAATCAATAACAAACATAACAGATATATATTATATAACAGATATAACAGGTGCAGTTCAACGAATGTGGCATGTCTCAATGACTTATGACACATCTTTGAAGTTTTTAATTTTGTTTTCAACTCCAGCATGCGATTTCACTGGATTTATCATCTCAGGTTCCCATCTTCAAAGTTGCCTTGAAATTCAAGAGCCGTGATTTTGGGGCGTGCGTCTGTTGAAAAAAATCAGGGTTTAGAGATGTTTAGAGTTCATCCATGTCTTTGACATCCGTGTGAGCCAAATGAGAAGAATGAAACAGCGCTTTCCACACATGGTTTCCACACGTCAAATTCGGCAGTCCGCGCGGCGATCAAGTGAAATGATATTGGAAAGGGTCACTTCGAATGTCAGCTGTGGATCCCAGGCAGAACACCCTTGGATCTCGCAAGAAATTGGGGACGCACAGAAGTGGTCAACCTGCTGATGGGCACAGCCTCTTGGCTGCACGGGTGAGGCTCAATGCAGTGACCCAATGGCATAGCAGGTGGGAATATCCATGGGTGAAACATGGTGAAACTGCTGGCATTGGTGGGAATGAAAACACGAAAGGCGTAGGGATAGTGTGAGTCGGTACCAGGGATGTTTACGCATCCGAGTGTGGACACATGACCCATAAGATCCATGAAGCCTAAACACATTGCCAAATCATCACATGCCACCGGCCAACAGGCCAACAATTGAGCACAAGTGAACCACGAATTTGATTGAATCTGCAGAATTGATTCGGCGAGAACACATCAGATTATCAGATTATGCATGGACAGAACAGAACAGGTATGTTTATTTTTTGCGTTTGACTTTCTTCAGCACTACATGGCCTAAAGGCCACCGATTGGCACGCACAGGAGTAGGCATTTGTTTGATGTTTCTTCTGTCCATATCGATTTTTGGGGTTGAATAATTTTGAGCCCCAGATGTTGTTTGCACATTTGCTGCGCCCAAGGCATGAAATATAAGGCCTGGCACCGAGAATAGCTCTTCTGGTGTCTCATGTGCCAGTCAGTCTTTGCTGGTAATGTTAGTTAATAAAGAATTATAAAGAACTGGAGCGATCATCAAAACATTCACGGGAATGATAAACATGGCTAGGGCTAGCAAGCAGCTCCTACTTGCTTGTGAGGAGCTTTGTTTCATTGTTAATTAGCAAACGTGCGAAACTTGATGAACATTGCAAGCACCAAAACTTTGACTGCTGGGCTTATAACAACATGCTGGGTATCTTTAAACATTAATCAGTTGTCCTTGGCAGCAAGATCTCTCCAATGCAGATTCCTATCCATATACAGTTATACATCTTTGTAAATTGTTTTGGTGCAAGAAATGTTAGACATGTCGGCGAGTGTCTGACAACATGAAGTTTGTGGGAAAACATCTCCAGTCACCTGCTTCGCCTCCCGTTTTCGCAGGTTTGGTATAGTGATTCCGGCATGCTTCAATTTCGGGCCAAAGTTGCCCTTTGAGCGCATCTTGTGAAACGATCAAAGATGTGCCGTTTAACGCCGTTGGGTTCACAGGATGTGGATTAAAATTTTGTCCCCGCAAAGTTGGGGCTTTCGATGGTTTAATTTTTTTTTTATGAATTCAACGCGGAAACCAGAACCTAAAATGATGAACATGTGTGATTGCATGGGGTTTCTCTCTATCTCAGTTTGGGATCAGGATTGAGCTTAGCAAGTGGCTGGAATCTCTGCTGTGCAGCCATTAGTTGTATGACATCACACCGCTCCTTCCTGTTTGTGGTGGATTGTTATGTTCAATTGTTTAATTCTCTTGTCTTTCAATGTGATGACATGGTGAGCAAATGTCGTGAAATGACTTCTAGGTCCAAACCATGATTTGAGGTGGCAACTCAAGTAATTAGTTTTGTTTCCAGCGGAAGAACAATCCACTACCCCCAAAGGTGGTAGATATTTTTCAGGTAGTCTTGGAATACAGCTTCCCCGACTGTTCGGCGATGGCCCCATGATCGCAGGCAAGACGTATCGGGTCTTGTATCGATTCCTTTGCGTTGACTGTATTATGCTGCAGTCAAGTTTCACCTGGGATGAAATTGCCTTTGAACATGTGCAATGCGTAATCGATGACACTGGTTTCAGGTTCAAAGCAACATCAGGGAGTGAAACGCACCATGTTAAAGATGAACACTCGTGCCACCCATCAACGTTTCTTGATGAGGAAGATACAGATATTCCTCAGTGCGTCGGGAGTTCATTTTAGTTGCTTACTACTTTCAACTGTCAAGCAGCAATTTCAAGAGCACAGGGTTTGATTCGGTCGTTGGAAGAAGGGGACATTTTACAGCTACAGTTTCACCATTCTGTGGGGATTCCCGTTGCGCAATACATGCATACAATCTGGTGTCACAGGTGTGCAAGGCCATCGTGAAGTAATCTACCAATCTGGCAGGTAGCGACTTCCAAAAAATTACTTTACTTCGTGTGATCCCCACCATGACATTTATACATTTTCTTACTGGCAAATCTTCTGGCATTCTATCTGACATATCTTCTGACATTCTATTTGACATTCTATCTGGCATATCTTCTGGCATATGATCTGGCATATCTTCTGGCATATCTTCTGGCATTCTATCTGGCAAATCTTCTGGCATTCTATCTGGCATATCTTCTGGCACTCTATCTGACATATCTTCTGGCATTCAATCTGGCATTCTATCTGGCATATCTTCTGGCATATATTCTGACATATCTTCTGGCATTCTATCTGACATATCTTCTGGCATATATTCTGACATATCTTCTGGCATATCTTCTGGCATATCTTCTGGCATATCTATATCTGGCATATCTTCTGGCATATTTTCTGGCATTCTATCTGGCAAATCTTCTGGCATTCTATCTGGCATTCTATCTGGCATATCTTCTGGCATATTATCTGGCATTCTATCTGGCATATCTTCTGGCATATCTTCTGGCATATCTTCTGACATTCTTTCTGACATTCTTTCTAACTTTCTTCTGCACATTCTTTGTCCGAGCAGGGAACACTGGGCGTATGGTCGTGGTTGAGGTCCGGCAGGGAACACTGGGCGTGGATGGTCGTGGTTGAGGTCCGGCAGGGAACACTGGGCGTGGATGGTCGTGGTTGAGGTCCGGCAGGGAACACTGGGCGCGGATGGTCGTGGTTGAGGTCCGGCAGGGAACACTGGGCGTGGATGGTCGTGGTTGAGGTCCGGCAGGGAACACTGGGCGTGGATGGTCGTGGTTGAGGTCCGGCAGAGAACACTGTGGATCGCGGGTCGCAGTTGAGCAAGGACGACGAGGACGACGAGGAGGAGGAGGAGAGGAGGACGAGGCAGGACGAGGCGGAGGAGGAGGAGAAGGAGGAGGAGAAGGAGGAGGAGGAGGACGAGGAGGAGGACGAGGAGGAGGACGAGGAGGCAACTGACATAAAATCTAACAACCCTCACCTGGAAAAACATGTCAACCTGCATGGGTCCTGTGAGACATTACTTACAAGAATACCATTTTATTTCACGAAGAAGGGCCGTTTCTGCCCTGGCGCTCCAAACTACTCTCGGAAGATGTTGGGGACCCAAAAACCAACTACTAGCGTCTCAGAAGGTGCTTGGAACTGCAGGGTCGGGTGAAACAAATTGATCTACAACTAGTTGTACTAGTACTACTCTCTTTGGCAGATGTTTCTTCATTTCACACCATTTGCAAGTCAAGACAGTTTTCCGGATAGCTACCCATGAACACCTAGGCACCTAGGCTTCACACATTGAGATACCTCCATTGCCGAGGTTTGAGCAAGCTGCAAGCCGTCAAAAGGGTGCCAAGATGCTGCTTGGTGGTTCACACCACCCCAACTGGTCAGTAATGGAAGTAGGAAAACCGATTATCAAACAATAGGGGTCTAAACACCTGATATCACCTGATTATAGTTATCAGAGATATACACCTATTGTTATAAGCATCACCTAACTTATCGTCGTGTATCTGCATATCAGTTTATTAAACCGCTATTACAAATATATCACTTGATATAATCAGATGAATGACAGTTTATTGACATAATAATGATTGGAATGTGCTTCGTGTTTGTGGGGTCAATTCTCCCAGTTCTATAGATGTATGAATCGGGGACTTCAGCAGGGCAACTAAAAAATTAAGATCCGCGGGATGATTTCCAAGGGATTGTCTCAATGGTTTGGGGATTGCTCCTGCCACTTCCCCTTCAATTGTATGTTTGAAAAACAACTTCATATGTAGCCTCTGGTAGTATAGACTGCTATGGACAATCACCATTTATTGTAGGTAAATCGACAAACTAAATGGATCCTTTTCAATAGCCAGGTTACATTACCAGAGGGTAAATGACAGGGTTTTTTTCCAACTTTTATCAACAATCGTTATATCATGTTTTATCTACCAGAACCTTCGAAGGATTGAGTTCAAAGAAGAAGACAAATGGGTTCAACGGGACACTGTGAAATCCGGTTTCAACGTCCTGAAAAAGCACATATAATATGCATTGATACACCATTTTGTGTTGAAACTGCATGCCATATGGTTGTGGATGATCTTGCTTCAGGGTTTGCGGTTTGGATTTTAGGTTCCCTGACAGATTTCCTCCATTCGATCCAGTTTCCAGATCTCTTGGGGCGTGCTGACAACTTTCAGATTCTTTCATTGCTCCGGCTGGATGATATCTTGGCCCTTGTTTTCATTAAAAAAAACATAGTTTTTTAATTAGGGTGGTACTCCCCCAATCGTCATAATCTGATACTTAACTGGTACCCCCTCCAATTAAACAGCCTAAGGGTTTACTAATCCAGGGTTGACATTAATCCTGAATTGATATCTGTTAGCTTAAGACGTAATATTTTTCATATTCTACGCTGTCATATTTTCCATTGAAAATAAGACACATTCTCTGCATGGACAGATTTTGACGAAAGAGGCATCCTTCGTGGCACAAAATCATGATGCAGAAACGCGCCGAGGAAATCCGCGTGGAGGATTTATCGAGGTCCTGAGGCGGAAATTGTTTGGAAACTCTGAATCCTGGATAAAGTTTGAAGCCTGGAGCACACCCGGGTCTGAAAATGCCAGCAAAATTGCCAATGGAGAATAGATTTGGGATATTCATGGATAGTCCATTTTCAGATAAACCCACCTATTTTCAAACTTCGTCAAAGCTCATCGAATCTGATCATCTGCCGCAGTAGCTTTCGAAGCTCCTTTGGAGAGGACCGGGTGACCGGGTTGGGTTGGGCCTTCATCTGAGCATCCAAAGATTGTGGAGATTTCACCAGTTTGGGATTGCCAAGTTCAGATTTTCTTGATATCTTACTCGGGGTGCAGTTGGGATTATATTTTGTGGCTACAACTATGACAACAATTCCTATACGTTGGAAAACATGCAGGATGTTAGTTCGATGATGTTTCCCCGATAATTGCCTGGTCACCATCTTTTCTATCTATTTGGGGTTTGCTGTACCACATCGTGGACAAAGCCACATATCATCCCATATCCTTTTCCGTTCATGGATCGTGGTTAAAATTACAATGGCCTCATCATGACGTCATGACGTTGGTTGCGAAGGGGAATAATCCGAACATGTCCTTTATTTCAGTTTGGTGAATTACAATATACCAGCCAAATGGAGATGATTCTTCGCATTTTTCATCAATAGGACTACAGATTTTTTTTTTAGAACAACCGCGTTTTTGGTGTGAATGACCATATTTGGTTGATGGTTCACACTCCATGAGTCATTTGAGAATGGCTCAAAATGAACAATCCCAGCAAAAAACTGGACAGTTTCAGATCCAAAAGAGACCAGGCGTGTCCAAAACAGTGCCCCAAATCAAAGGTCGCCAAAACCATATGTGCCATGCTGCCATGCTTGAAACTTGGGTGATTTGCCCCATGTCGGGCATAACACGACCTGGTAAATCCCAGGCATTCAAAGTGTTTTTTTGTCAGCCATACACCATATTTTTTCTTGTAGGGTGTATACTGGGTTAAATTTCCTGGCTTGAAGGTTTACTGTATACATATTCAATACATACATGAATATATAATAGATAAAGCCATGTCCCCAGCACTTCGAGCCATGCCTTGACCACATGGTGTTTCGACAGGAGTGAGACCAGGCCTTGGATCATTGGCCATCGATTAGCAGCCCTGGCGTTGTTGGGTTTTTGAGGGACATTTGGCTGCCGGGATTGATAGATGTTATGATGTTTCTTCGTGTTTCATGTTAAATAGTTGGGTGATGCCAATTCTGAAAAAGTAATTATTAGACACGATATCACCCAACTCTCCAACTATCCCAGGATATCCCAGGTGTCTGGGCATGACGGGTCAGATCATGAGTCGCCAGGATCGCCAGTTGGCGTCAGTGGATCATCGTTCGGGTTTGGCGTCAGAGGCGCACGGCACTCGTCCTCAGGACTGGGGACTGGAAGTTTAAGCAAAAGTTCTCATCTATCAGATCATCCCAAATCATCTATCAAATTGCTTAAAAGTAATTGTCATAGTTCAACATAGTTCCTGATCCTTATTGGTTCTGGAAGTTTATTTGTGCCACTGACTTTGGAGAGTGATGGTCAAAGCACTTTTGATTCCCCGCGGGCATTGCAAAAAGTAAAGGAAAAGGGCCTGAGCGCACAGTTGATGGACAGCTTTGATGAAGAATGGCAGATGGCAGATGCAACCCGAAAAGGGTCCGTTTGTGATACGGCCATAATCTCCCAATCTGTTTTAGATGGTACCAATCCGTGTATCAAAAACCACTAGGCATATCTAGGCATCTTTAAATTCCTTGGTGTGAGAAGGACTTGGACTTGGAGCCTGGGCAGGTGGCTCAGTTTGGAAAGAGTCAAACGGAGAGATGGGTAGAGGCAGTTCATGGCGTGCCATTTGCAGCCATACCGATACCTGAAGATTCGCATGCAAGATGTCATTGATGATGATTGGTAGCTGCATCATTCTGAATTGTTGCAACTCCAAAATTGCCAAGTGCTTTGCAGCCTTAATGCGTGTTTTTTTTCTGCACTCGCAGATTGTCCGCTCAACCGTTCAACAATTACATTTTTCCAGATTTTCTGCACTCGCATGACCAGCAGCACCCTGACAGACTGCAGGTCTTCCAAGAAGAAGTTCCACGAGCGAAGCCGCGTCAGCAGTTGCGAGAAGGCCAAAATAACGATGCCAGTCGGGGCCTTAGTGAGGAGACAGGGTGGCTATGGGGGGGGCAAGATTCAAAATCCACCGAACCCACTAATTCAAGTACTTCATCCATCCGTGGCGAAATAATCCCCATGCACTACAATTTATTCAGCTTGAACCCCCAAAAAACCATCCAACAATGGGGATTCAATAGGGATTGCCCCCTTAGAAATGAGTAAACCATCCCATCTCCTACAACTAACCCCCCAAATTCTGATTTCCCAAGGCTCTTGCGTTGGAACCTCCCAACAATCCTCTTGAATCGGGTGCACGCCGTGACGCCGCGGCGGCCAAGAGCCAGCTCCCCGAGGAGATGCAGCCCGACAGCGATGCGGTGGATTTTGATCCAGCCTAGCATGGCCAGGGCCATCCCTTATGGAAGATCTTCATTGACCACAGAGATTTTTTTTCAAACCATAGGTGTGGGTGAGACCCGTTGGCACCACTATATACATCTACAATCATCTATACACTAGTACCATCTATAGTACCTGATTTACTGGGGATTATGAGAAGCCATGGCGAATAGGGAAACTGCTTTCAAGCAGAAAAGGAGATGGCGAATAGGGGTAATTTTGTTGAAGTGGATCCATTCAAATGGCCATCACATAGGGAACATGAACAAATAAGCCATTGGAATTGTTTTTCCTGGATTGTTTCAGACTTTCCAAAGTCTTTAACCCTGGCTGAAGCAAGAAAAATTGGGATGTAAACCTTCAAACTTGGGGTTTTGCCGCCAAACTTAGGAGGATTTCACATGATTTCGGCGTGGGAATATGGTGATTTAACATGATTGAAGCAAGAAGCATGAGGATTGAGCCGTGAAAACCGGAGGTTGTGCATGATTTAAGCATCAAATATCACGGTTGAACTCACGATCGAACCATGATATAACGATGGTTTCAGAATGACACATTGAGATTATTCTATGGACATAATTGTACATGGAAATTTGAGTGGCAAAACAATATAATTCAATGTATGGTAATGTATGGTCATTTTCGTTGCGACAATGAGCATGAACCAGTGGATGGAATGGATATCTGATTCTTGGAACATTGCGATGTTCGACAAAACAACTCAGGGGTGAGGATGCGCTATGATGTAGCTCCGAAATCTTGACTTGCGAATGGAGCATACCAGGCTACCTTGATACCTGCAGTATTAAATAGTTGTTGATAATAATTTGGCCATCTATTGAATGGCGATGCCATCGGTCCAGATTTACTGAAGGTGATATTGTGATATTGATATTATATGTTGTTGTAGTATGTTTAATGTGTGTTCCATGTGCTAATTCTCTGAAAATTCTCGGAAATGTCTATGTGCGTGGCAGCGCCAGTTGAGGAGTCATTGAAGAAAACCTATCTGGTGCAAGTTCCGCCCGTGTGCGTTTTTCGGTGGGGATCGCTGCTGCTCACTCTCGTTTTTTCGAGGCATCGTATGTCAGACGGTCACACGTTTTTTCGTGCAAAACGCTGAGCCTTGGAAAACCATCTGGCCAGGTTCATTGGTATCATTGGTGACCGTTCGCAATGCCGTGGCCAGGTCATTGTTGCCACTGGTTTGATCGCACTGGGTGCCTTCACTCCAGACTTCCGCGAGAGCGCTGTGAAGCCTGCCTCTCAGCCTCTCAGACCATGACAAACTTATGGCATGGCCATAGAATCCCAAAGGAAGGAAAAGACATGAAAATATCATTTTGACTTGATGTCCTTTGCCATTTCCAGCGACATCAGCGTTGTTTTTACTAAGAATTACTGTATCATTGATTTTTTGAGAGAACAGCACCGCCGCCACTACCACCACCACCACCACCACCATCATCACCATCACCATCACCATCATCACCATAATCATAATCATCATCATCATCATCATCATCATCATCATCATCATCATCATCATCATCACATTTTTTGAATCACCACCATTTGTTTTAGTTTTATCACCTCCTCGAGGATCATCCCACTAGTATAAAAGGCAAGCAAAGCATATTCATATCTGAACTTCACAAAACAGTTTTTTCTATGGAGGTTTCCCAAAATTGGTATCCCCAAGTCACCATAGGTCCCTCTAACAAAGCGGAAACCTCGAGTTTGAACATGTAAAGATCATCCCACTTAGTATCACTGCTCAACACGTATATTCAATGCAGAATCATAACTTAACTTTATAACACAGTTATATATGGAGGTTTCCTAAAATTGGGGGGCGGTACCCCCAGTCATCATCCATTTGATTTTCGGATTTTTCATGAAATCAACCATCCATCCAGCTATTGGGGTACCTCCATGACTTAGGACCCCCCAAATCATCCATGTTGGTCCTGTTTAACCCAGGGTTCCCCCAGTCATCATCCATTCTATGTTCGGATTTTCGGATTTTCCATTGTAAACCATCCAGCTATTGGAGTAACCAGCATAGAAAAATAAGTCCCACCTTTCTCGGCCTCGGCCTGGCGCCTGGGCGGAGTCGCAGCGTCAGATCCTCCGAGAAGTTCTCTTTGGAGTGCCTGGAACCCGTGAAGGCGCCAGTGCTGGTTTTGGGAGGATCCGTGGTCTCCCAAAATGGAGGGTTAATAGAATGGCATTATAATGCTTAATCAGTTAATCATGGATTAACAATGGTTGATATATGGTTGATATACAGTGGTGAATATATTAATTCATGGGTGAATACTCCATTCCATGTCCATATCATAAATTGGTGGGTACCCCAATAGCTGGCAATAGCTGGATGATTTCATGGAGGAACCCATCAATGGACGATGACTCGGGGTACTGACTTGGGGAACCACCATATGGGGGCCAGAAAGGTGCTAGATAGACTGGATAGATGACTTTAGGAGCAGTGGAGATGAATGGGAAGAAATGGGATGTATTTATGATGTGCTGTGATAAACATTGATAAACCATATAAAACCTACACCACAAGTAGACCACTGAATGTGAACATCATTTTTTGACGGCTTCTGTGGTTGGTTTGGAATGCTGGCTCCATCGCAGCATTTATGGTTCCATCGCAACCCCCAAAAAAGAGTCCAACAAATGGAATTCTGGTAGAAACTTAAAGAAAAAGGCAAAATTACGTTGATTAATTATATGCTTACATCTTTTTTTATAGAAAATATTGTCACTTCTTTAAAATTCAGATATGGCAGGTGAGGGCTTGGGTGGTGGCCGGACTGCTGAACGACTTCTTCAGCATTGAGAATGGCGTCGTCATGGACAAGGTGGTTATCCGGGCACTGAAAATGCTGGATTTATCCTCTGGTAAACTAACAGTTTGCTATTGAAAATTGCCATTTAGTTAATTTAGTTCGTTGATTTACCAATTTAAAATTGTGATTTTCCATAGTTATGCTAGTTTACCAGAGGGTAATCTCAATTTATGGATATTTATGGTCATGTCAGTAGGGAAAAGGATTAACCAACAATTTTTGGGGTATCACATGTTTGGAGAAGGCTTCATCTACGTCTTTTTTCCCGTGGTTCTTGGATTGTTATGGATTGTTGCGATTTGCGATTGACATCTGGGCAATTAGCAAGACGTATTCAGACTTGTCCATTCAATGGACTGTGACACAAGTGCACCCTGTTCTGTGGGGATACGGCAGGCACGACGGTTCCATGCTCAGTATGGCTCAGTGATGAACGTCTGGATTGAGGATTTTGACCACATTTTTGGACGGATGATTGGCGCCTGGGTTTGACCCAGTTGTACATACTCTGTACTAATTTCACCTTATATTTCGTTTATAGAATAAGACGTGTTTCACAAAAAATACGCTCTTATCAACATTAGAACATTATTTAACATCATTTTCCACAATTTCCATCAGTTTCCCAATATTTTCCAACATTTCCAACCTTTTCCAGATACCATGGTTTTTTCTATCCTGTTTCAGCGTTTCCCCACCTCCAAGGTGGCGGCCCTCATGCATCGACCCACAAGGACAATCGGTGGATCAAAAAGCACGCCATGTCTTGGGGCCCAGGACATGGGACCGTTTTTTTTTGCTCAGAATGAGATTTCATTCATTATATTTTCATATTTTATGTTATTCTCAAAAAGGTTCTAAAATAGATCCAACCTTCAAGTCACGAATGTACAGGATGTTTCTAAGCTTCCAGAATTTGGATGGGAACATTTACAGTTGAAACCTTTATATGTGGAGGTTTCTTAACATGTGGAACCCCCAAGCCGCGCATGGTGCCAGAATGGGGCAACCGCTGCTGGTTGTGGCGAAGTTTACGGACGGCGACTATCAGCGCTTGGAAGGTGAAGGGCGCAGGTTTTCGTTGAGAGATGACTCAATGGATTCATCGAAAAATGGTGGATTAAGTATGAAAAGTTGTGGTTTAATGGGTTTGATCATCACAAATGGTGGTTTCAGTAATTTTAAGTACTATAAATTGGGAATCCTGGGGATTCAGGTAATGATTATGGATTTCATGGATTTCATACTTGATCAATTGGTTCAATGCCAATCTACAGGAAACCATGTTTTTTCTCCCCCTCACGGGAGAGATTTTTGGACTAAAAATGCTTAAAAATACTTGTATTTACAGTGTTTTGTGACAAGAGTAGGCTTAAAACAATTATTTTAGAGCACAAAGTAGAGTTCGCCTCTAAAGGCTATCATATGCTGTCATAAATCACTGGCATCTACAGATTTTTGTGACAGGATTCAACTTTTCCTGTGAGGCTTGTAAAGAACTACAAACAATCAACACATAACAAAAATCATTTGCTGCACAACATGCCATAAAGAATGGGTAGCTGTGCATCTTGGAACAGAATGTACAGTAGCAATGGGTATGATTCCGGGATATTTTCGGATTAAGTTTTCCATAGTTTTCCATTCTCAGAAAGTAGTTGGATCAGACAAGACAACCACGTCCCTTTGGAGCTGACGGCAGGTTGCATCCAGTTTGGCAACCCCATCGAAAATGTCGAGGATCGATCGGAGGGCGACCCTTCCGGGGCTGAATTGAGCCAATGAGTCATCGATTTCTATAGCGTGAAGTTCCGGACATGGTTGGAATATGTTGAAATCTGGGTCGGATTATGTACATTCACCTAAGTCATCATAATTTCTATATCCGGTGGCTTCAAACATTCTTAATATGTTTCAACCCGACTGGGATGATAATTCCAAGTGAGGAGCATATTCTTTAGTGTTGAAATTACCAACCAGATGCCATATATTGCTGTTTAAAACCCACTGACTCCATACCATGGAATATCAGACGGACCACAACTGACCAAAATGGTACAACTAGTTTCCATTCCATAATATCTATCCCTAAGTCTCCAAACCGCTGCCCACAACAGGTTCTGAATAGGAAGCCTGTAAATACAAACATCCACCTGCCAAGTACGTGAATACGAACAGTGAATTCTGACACCAAGTTAAGCCTGTGAATTTCAATCTGATAGTGTCGGAAAGATGCCTGAGGGACCCCACTTCGAAGCACACTGGCAGGAAGTGTCGGTTACTTTTTTTCATTCACGCCCCACTCGCTCACGCAAACTCATTCATCATCTTCAGACGATGATGAGCTTGACTCACCCCAATCTTTGTAACGCAGGCGAACATACACCTTTTGCAAAATAGCTAGCTCAAGGGTCACAGCATGAGATCTCCTAGCAATCCGTTTTAGGAATTGGTTCCAATCTTCTTGCCGAAAGCAACTCCAGAATCTGCTATTGATTCCTTGGGCTGCCAGAAAATGAAATTGCATACCCCAAGGGTTCAAGAAATTGAACATAGCAGGTGAATCAATACCAAGACACCATGGATTTCCACTTGGAAGGCAATCTCTTGCCAAGCCTCGTGACAATTTTGCATGGTGACTTAACAAAGAAGCAAAGCTAAATTTAATACACCACTGAACGCAGAGCATGCAACCTCTTGCCAATGCCTTTTCTTTTGACAAGGGGCATGGCACTTGGGCTTGACCGGAAAGAGGAACCTATTGTCCCCAGCAGCTTTCAATGCAAGCTTGAAATACGCATCCAAACTTCGATCCTCAGCTCAGCATCGTGATAGAAAGTTGTAGAAAGGCAGCAGCTTGGAGACAATGGGTATTGCAGCAGAGTTTCACAGCAGTCATGAAGCTGGGAAATTGTGGGGTCATCTGGGTACCGCCCGCTCGCTTCCGAGACATTGTACCATTTGGCATGGTAGAACCTCACCAATCAGAATTTATTAATAATAACGCAGGTGAATCATATAAACTTGCAAGTGGCCTTCATGTTGCACAGCTCAGTGAGCAGAACAGAGCTAAGGGGGAGGCACACACTCAGTGAGGAGGTGTAAGTATGATCCAGTAGGCTCATCAGCATCTCGCATGAGCTCGCATAGAAGATCACTAAGCCATCCAATCACCACACGGCACTTAGATAAAACATGCCAATAAAAACAACTTGATGCTCATCATCTGACACACAACCTATCAGTCGCAGCAATGAAGCTTGCATCTACGAATGCACCATCTAGTGTGATCCCCAGACCAGGATGGTATGCTCAGGGCACTGGTAGACTTGTTTCAAACATTTCCA